TTCGTCATCTCAGCCACACTCTTCCCCCCCCCCCCCGCCCTGTCTGAGCCAGCCAGGAACAAGCCCCCTCCCCATCTTCATCTGAGGCTAAAGACACAGCCAGGCCTAGCTGGCCACCAGGACTCCTGGGTCCCGTCCTGGCTGTGGGAGGGGAATGGGGTCTCCTAGGATCCGCCCATCCCCCCGTGCAGCCCCAATCCCCTCCCCCGCCTGATACCCCCCTCCCCATTTCCTCCTGATTGGCTGATTCCCCCCCGCCCCAAACCCCCAGCCATCCCCTCAGACCCATTCCTGTGGGTCCTACCAAAACTCGGCCACTCAGCTGCACTTGGGGGGCAGAATTTCCAGTGTTGGGGAAGGGGGGGGTGGCGAGAGACACTGGCCCTTTAACTAAGCTCTGGGCTGGGGGTGGGGAGGTTGGTGCTTCCCCAGCCTGGGATTTCCCCAGGCTCCGCCCCTTAGCTGGGCCATTCCACAGGCCCCGCCCCTCGGCTCCCAGGCCACGCCCCTTAATTGGGGACACCGCACAGGCCCCGCCCCTCAGCTCCCAAGCCCCGCCCCTTACATTCCATAGGCTCCGCCCCTTACATTCCATAGGCCCCCCTCCCCCCTGGCGCCTGGGCTCCGCCCCCTTCCCGCAAGCCCTGCCCCTGGTTCCCTAGACCTCACCCCCCGCCCGCCAGAATCTCACAAGCCCCGTCCCTCGCCAGTGACTCCCCCACACACATCCCGAGCGGCCCCCCACTCCATTGCTTTTTACCTGTTGCTTTTGCTCGGCCACGTCTCCATCTCTGAGGCAAATATGGGGCCAGCCCCTAGTGGGTGAATACGAGGGGTCCCTGCCCTGGGTTGGGGGGTGTTGGGGACCCCCAGGGACGATGCCTGAAACCCCCCATTGTGATAGAAGGAGAGAGCACTGGCCCAGACCCCAAGGGGGGCCCTGCAGCCCCTGGGGGTCGCTCTCACCGGCCCCCCCCTCGGAGCCTGCAGCCCCCCCTGGGGTCAGGCCGGGAGCCCCCCACAGCGAGTGCCCCAGGATGGGCCCCGGGCGCAGAGGGACCCCCCCAGAGGGAGCCAGGCCCCCCAGCTCCAGGCTCAGGTGTGACTCGGCCTGGGGGGGAGCGCAGGGGTTAGCGCCAAGAACAGAGCCCCCCCCGACTCGTAGTGCCATTGCCCCCAGCTCCCCCCAGCAGCCCCACATGGAGCAACCTCCCCCCGGCCGGCTCCCTGCCCAGGGGGCGCCCACGGGCGTTAGCTGCTGGGTGCCAACAGGCGGGGTAGTGGGCGGGGCCATTGTCTTCTGGGTCCCTCCCTGGGCATGCGGGGGGGGGCCTGGCCCCCGCCAGCCGGAGTGGGTCACACCTGAGTCTGTGCAGCGAGCAAACAGCCTCTTCTGCCCTCCCCACCCCCACCATATGTGGGGAAACTGAGGCACACGCAGTAGTCAGACAAAATATTATCCCGACCCCAAAGGGAGACAAGGCCAGAGGCCAGGACCAAGGGCAGGTCACATGGGGGGTGGCAGGTCTCCATATTCCTCCTGTGGGGGGGGGCGGCGCTGGGGTTGGAGGCACCCGCTTATCCCAGAGCTGGAGCTGTGGCATCTCACGGATGGGAGGGGAAGAAATGTAGTGCAGGGAATGGGGGTGGCACGGGTTGGGAGGTGCAGGAAGTGGTGGGGGAGACAGGAGGAGGGGTGCAGGGGGTGAGGGGTGGGTTTCAGCATCAGGGGGTTTAGGGTATTGGGGGATGGGGTTAGGGGGTGCTCAGGACTCCCTTCGTATTCACCCCGGGCTGCTCCAATATTTGACCCCCAATTAACACCCCATTTCATACATCTTGTAGGGTTCGCCCAGTGCCCCTGTAATGCCCCAGCTGCGTCAGCCAGGTACGTACCCTGCCCTGGCACCCCCCCGAAACTTCATCTCTGCCCCCCCCAGCAGCCGCCGTTACCACCACTGCGAGCAGATCAGTGTCTCCCCCCCGCCCATATCCCCCGACACACCCCACCAGCCTAGGGCGCCCACACTAACCGCCCGCCCCCACTGCTCATGCAGGCTTCTGGGCCCCTCCCCGCTGTTCGCCCGGGGAAACCTGGCTCTGGGGCAGGGCACAGAGGCTGGGTATACGGGGACCCCTCGCAGCTGGCTCTGGGGTGGGGCGCGGGACCTGGTTATATGGGGACCCCTCCCCCAGTGCTGAGATGCGGCTGGCTCTGGAGTGGGGGCGCAGGAGCTGGGTATATGGGGATCCCCACATCTGGCTGGGTATATGGGGACCCCTCAACAGGTGCTGCGATGCGGCTGGCTCTGGGGTAGGGTGAAGGGACCGTGGTTATACCAGGACCCCTTGACGGGGGCTGAGATGCGACTGGCTCTGGGGTAAGGTGAAGGGACTGTGGTTATACCGGGACTCCTTGACAGGGGTGTGACGATGCGGTTCTGGCGGAACCCCACTGAGAGTGCCAACTCAGGACAAATTGCTCAAACAGGGCAGTTACAGCCCAAGGCTGGGGTTTTTTCCACCTCTAAGGCAAACCAAACCAGCCAGACTTAGAGGACTTCGGTCTCACCCCACTGGCTAACCGCAAGTCTCACAAGCAATCTCCTTAGACACTCCAATTTCCCAGTATTACCACCAGTGCCACTCGTTATGGGGACAAATGGTTATGAAAACCAATACCCCAGTAAAAGAAAAAGGTTCTCCTGATCCCCAAGGACCAAGCCCCAGACCCAGGTCAATATACAAATCAGATCTTACCCACAAATCACGCTATTGCCAATCCTTTAGAATCTAAAATCTAAAGGTTTATTCATAAAAGGAAAAAGATAGAGATGAGAGTTAGAATTGGTTAAATGGAATCAATTCCATACAGTAATGGCAAAGTTCTTGGTTCAGGCTTGCAGCAGCGATGGAATAAACTGCAGGTTCAAATCAAGTCTCTGGAATACATCCCCCGCTGGGATGGGTCCTCAGTCCTTTGTTCAAAGCTTCAGTTTGTAGCAAAGTTCCTCCAGAGGTATGAAGCAGGACTGAAGACCAGATGGAGATGAGGCATCAGCCTTATATAGTCTTTTCCAGGTGTAAGAACACCTCTTTGTTCTTAAATTACAGCAACATGGAGTCTGGAGTCACATGGGCCAGTCCCTGCATACTTTGCTGAGGTACAAGGCGTATCTGCCTTCTCTCAATGGGTCCATTGTATAGCTGATGGTCCTTAATGGGCCATCAAGCAGGCTAGGCAGAGCTAATCTCAGCTTGTCTGGGATGTCACACAGAAGCATAGCATAAGTTTGAAATACAGACAGTATAGAGCCAATATTCATAACTTCAACTACAAAATTGATACACACATATAGACAGCATAATCATAACCAGCAAACCATAACCTTGTCTTAGACACCCCATTTGACCCCCTTTATACAAGATTTGCGTGCCACTACAGGACCTTGGTTGCAACTATGATCTATATGGTCCCAGATTATATCAATAACGTCACAGGGGGCTGAGATGCGGCTGACTCTGGGGTGGGGCTCGGTGGCTTGGTATACAAGGACCCTGCCCAGGAGTATGGGACAGGAAGTGTAGGGGAATCTGGTCTCCTGCCAACAGAGCTGGTTATGGGGGGGGACCTTGGGGCCAGTCCTGAGCTGGAAATGAAGCCCCCCCCCCATTGCACCCTGGCCGGGTAGGACACATGTGTTACACACACCCCAGCTGCGACACACGTGGCCCCTTGCATGCATCATAGGGCACACCCCCAATTCCCATGGACCTGCGCCGGCTTGCACCCCACAAACACACCCCGCCTGGGTTCCATCCCTGGCTCTGGGGGGGAGGGAGGTCTAGTGGTTAGAGTGTGGGGGGGCTGGGAGCCTGTACTCCTGGGTTCTCTCCCTGGCTCTGGGAGGGGAGCAGGGGCTGGCGGTTAGAGCAGGGGGGG